ATCCTAATACGCTAAACTAAGATGGTGAACACAGTAAACATTTAACCTACTAAACATAAGCATATCAGCATTGTCATTGTGGGTTTCATAGCATGGTGATGAGTAAGCACTGCTGTACCTTAGTAAGTTACATCTTAAGAGAGTACTGTTTAAATATCTTGAATTAAAAAAATGATTTCTCTTCCACAATAGAGGCTAGGGGGGACAGCTTGGTGGTCTAGGGGCAAACAAATAAAGCCATAAAAAGCCCCAAAAGGTAATTTTAAAGAAAATCTATGGAAGCCTAACTACAGAGGAAGAACATCCTAAGTGAAACGTTTGGCTTTATTTTGAATCAGTTTCACTTCAAAGTCTTTTAAAGTGAACTCAGTACCTTAATATCCAGTTTAACCATTTATTGGACACTGTTCATAAATCAGAAATTCGACCTATACTCATTATGAAAATAAGATGTACTATCCTCTGAATAAGATCCATTACATAGTAGTATTGTTTGCAGTGTTTGGATGCATTAGGTATTGGATATGGTATGTATATCAGGTAGTATATAGTCTAGTACTGTTGAAAATGGTGCCATGAATGTGAAAATGTGAAATAAAAACCTGACATGGTATGCTTTCATGTTTTTACATGTAGTGTAAATATGTACATGCATCTATCAAGAAAATGAAACATAAAACTATGAGCCATTATATCCACACGTTACAGCAAACAACGGTGTTACGCTGCTTATCACCTCCCCTTGAAAAGCCCAATGGCAGCTTTGAAAATACGCTTTCTGAGGGAGTAAATCAAATTTATTTCCATCCAGGCACATTTTATCCTGAACCACACTCCACTGTCCAAGGCCTCAGTGGACTATAAGATCAACACACACGTTAGATTAGCCTGTCTGAGTACAACGCCTGAGGATCTAAAACACACCCAAAACTTGGCCAGAACATGGAGACACAAAGCAGATGTTCCCTGCTCCCACCAGCTGCTGTGGAGAACTTTGGAAAAGCTGGACATCATTGTGTATTAGTGTTACAAACTCATCCCATATGAATATGTACACAGTTGGTGGAACAGCCAACAATGCAAACTATTCTGCAACTTCTAGACTCAATGCCCGAATCAGTTTTATGACTAAATGTTAAAAGTGTGTCTTGGAAACAACAGCATAGATACATTTCACACTTGTGTGTTGGTTGTAGCACCATAAACTAGTCTTTTTCTTGCTGTTAAGAAAGTAGAGACAATGAGTAATGTTTGTCTTTGCTGCTGACTCACACAAAATGTAATATGGATTTCACATCAAAAGATGAAGATGAGGCAAAAGAAAGACTGTCGACTTTTACCTGAGGGACTTTATCGGCATCCCGATTAAACCATGCTAAAACTGTGATACCAGCAGAAAAACATACCTCATCTAATATTTCTTACCACTTGCACTTTGGTAAATATACACCTTAGTCAACTCAACCACCAGTCTTTTCAAGGCAATCACTTGGAAAACATAACTTGCTGTTTAGCACAGTGTTCATGTTGTAGGACAAAACACCTGTCACTTCTACAGAATTTACAAATTGCTTCGGGGTAATTTCTTAGAACACCCAATTCAAGTTCAAGCGAAACTTTGGTAATTTCACGCCAGTGGATATTAATGAAGTCTGCCAGCCACATTAGCTCATTAATAATATTGCAGATTAAACTATGATGAATTGGTGGACTGCACAATGGACTGTTCTGGCCCTGGTGTGACCAGTCTCTTATCTGACCTTTACAGATACAAGCTGTAAAAGACACAGGAGACACAGAGACCCTCGTGGGGCAGGACTAAGACAGCAGATGTACATAAGCCTTTTTCATAATGGAAGGGTCCGTGGACCTTTTTACACTGTGTCAGTTTCCAATAATAGATTATTTTAATTTCTATAGACACTTAAGGGAATATGGCTCTTGAAAGACTTAATGACTGAAAAGACAGATTTCTGTAGACTTGTAAAATTGACTTTACTGCCTGGCTTGATTCTTCTGCAGTGTATATTTGCATATAGGGCAAACACTTATAGTACATTCTGTATGTCTGTATGTAAGGTGTTGCCTATTCCATCTTGAGTATTATGTAGAATTTGTAGCAACAAATGTTATCTTATTAAATTGTGAATGTTTAATTCAGTAAAGAGTGAGTGAATAATTATAATTATAATGGCATTTCTAGGAACAATTTACTGGAGGGAGACTATGCCTGCAGATAAAACTGATTAGTTTGAAAATGATGATGATGAAATGTTATGATGATATATGGAGGAAGAAAAGTCGGGCAAGGAACCCTCAGCTCCAAATGTCATCAAAGATAAAGGTATGTTGAAGTTGTTGAGTCTATCATGACATACCCTGAGCAAAGCCTCATTGTACTATGTGTGAAGTCCATCCTTAACTGACACACACTCACAGGACTTAAGGGGGAACACTGATTTGGGGGACTCACAAGGGATGGATTAATAAAACGTAATTGCAGTCTCCATTACGTCATCAGGTTTTTTTGTTTGTTTACTTTGGAAAGCTTCCCCAAGAACCACAGAAATTAATTGTGTACATTTTAACTTGATGTGTGAAATCACTGTCCAGCTATACGCTTGCTCAGATTAAATGTTTTAAAATGTGTTGCTGTCTTTTTAAGGAAGTCCTAATGCACATCATGGAGATCCGTAGGTAATAAACTGCATACATTCTGCCAGTGTATTTATGAAAAGAGCCAATTAGGCAGAATATCAGGTCACTCGTAGACAGCATTTCTCCCAGCGGGTAGAAAGACACCATGTGCTTGTCAACTCCCTCTACCTCTCCTACCTCTCTACCTCTCCTCACTCTCCCTGGCATTGAATAAACAACAGGGTAAACAGCGACGTGGGGAGAAAGATGAATGGTCCCAATGAGTGTCGAGGACCTTTCAGAATCTTAAAGCGAAAATCCACCCTTAAATACAATTTACTGAATACATCAACCGCATGAAGTTAGGCTCTTCAGGTGAGATGTCTGGACATGAAGAATTTTTTTTTTTTTAAATCCCCTTCGACTCCACAACATTTCAAAGGGAAATACTGTACTTATTCTCAATTTATATGTATCTAACATAATAGTTACTGGTTACTTTTAAAGGTTAAATTACCTTAGAATGAGCTGTTTTTATCTACAGACGCTGAGGGTCACTTTCCATGGAGTAAACCATGTCGAACTGCCATGTTACTACAGTCGCTTGGAATAGACAAACGTCTAGAGTTTTTCAAGAGTTTCACGGCCGTTTCGCCTGCGCGCTTGGAAGGTGAGCAGTATTCACTAGTTGTAATCTGCAACTACACCGCTAAAAATGCCACTAAATCCTACACACTGGGCCTTTAGGATTTTTAGAAGCTTATAAAATACAAAGATTAAACAAATGGCTTCGAGTCAAGACCTCTTAATAAAACATAAAAGAACAGATGGGGCCCTGTTCAAGGCCCAAAGAGGTAGAATTGTCTAGAATTTTACATAAAAGTGTGCAGCAGAACTTGTGTAGCTATTTCTTCCTTCCAACTCAATTTAATCCTCTCACGTCACCTGGAGGGAGGAGGAGGCCTGACCCCTGGGCTGGGAACCACTGGATTATACAACCCGAGAAATAAAGCATTGATGCATTAGCATTAACAATCTCATTTGTCTGCAGAACGAGTACTTAAAGTAGAGTATTTTTACATTGTTATACTTGTAGATAAACAAAGGAGCTAAGTACTTCTGCTACCACTAAAAATATGAGACAGAACACTAATTTATTATTTTATTAAAATGTCAGACGTAAACAGAATCAAGCACTAATTTGTATAAAATAAAAGTATGCTTCCTTAACAATCCCTGGTATAAATGATAAATACAGTGCTACTTCACTATAAACAACAAGGTGAAGAAACATTTGCACATGTGGATAAAAAATAAAAAAGAGGAATTAAAACCAATGTTTGTGTCTCATTTGAAATAGTTTTTGTTTAGTTATTATTTATGCCGTGCTTTATACTTACTTATCTTAAAAATGTGATCGTTGGTGTTAAAGGGTCTTTTTCTGGTGAGCTATGGAAAGCAACTGTGAGCTATAGTTATCTGTTTTAGGATGCATTCCACCTGAACCACAGCATGATATGACATTGCTACTGAGCCCCTTCTGAGCTGAGCTCTGTATGGGACCACGAGCAGAACTGGTTCTCTTATAAAAGCACAAATGGAGCGTTGATTTAGGGCTATTCATCTAGGTCAAGAGAATAAATGCAGCTAGTTAAGATGAGACAAATTAGAGAGTCATGCAATGCCAGCAGAATCATGAGTTAACAGAGAATAATGATTTTCACTGTTCTGCCTTACCTCTTACTTTGTCTTCACACACTCACAAACATACACACACAGGCTACAGCACGTTCCCTCAGTTAATGCATCAGCTGTTCTCACTACACACTTGGAGAGCAGATTAAAAATGGAAAGCTGGGAGAAAACTGGAGGTGGAGGGTGTTAATTTGTAATGGTCATGGGTAAGAATACTGTACGTTGTTCCACAGAAAGGATTAACATAGTGACCTGTGTTTAGGGCTGCAGAATGGACGCTCTGTTGTCAGCATTGTGCAGGTGTGTCTCTGCATCTCTATGTGCGTCTGTGTTTAGCATTCAGAGTGACGCGGGTCAGAGACACCTCAACGGTACCAGTGTCTGACTGAATAAAGGTCATTATTGTAGAAATGGAGGCAGAGAAGCATGGGGAAAAGTGAAAGAGGGGAGGTTGAGTGAAGAGAAAAAGTTGAGATCAGGTAAAAAAGAAAATGCTGGGACAAAAGTGCTATATGAAAGAAAAAGGAAGGAAGAATAAGAATGTTGTCTATAGCTCTGAAATTCCTGATTAACACCTCTGCGTTTCTGACATTTGACCATACATGCTCAAAGGTTACACTCTGAGTGAGGAAGAGAAGAAAGAAAGATCAGCGATGGACTGTACTTACTCAGCATTTGCCATGATGCTGGGTGCTGGAGAGAGGAGAGATGGTGTTGCTTGTCACAAGGTTTCCACTCAGTTCTGGCTGTTTTAGTGATGCAGTTCACCTTTTCTCCTGATAGATGCTGCTTTCATGATGAACCTGGGAAGAACACGGTCATATTCGCAAGTGAAGCGAAGCAAGCGTTCACTAAGGTCTCATACAAGACTAATAATAATCTGGGTGGCTGGTAACTTCAAATTCAGTAGCTGGAGATCCAAAAAGTTATCGTTTTAGGCCTGGTATTTGCAGCATTTCAATATCAATTAAAACTAGGACTTCATCAATACCATGACTGGTATTAAAACATCACAACTTATGATATTAGGGACAAAAACGTTTTTTAAAAAATGGTAAATGCTCCTATCTCTACATCCTATGATTTGTTTCTATTATCTGGTGATGAAAAATAAGCGTTTAAATTGGTGGCACTTATTGCTTTCATCACAGGCTTGACGAGCCAAGAGGAACCTGTTTGAGGGTTTGTCCTTGGGTATTAGAGCTAAATATCAAACTAACAGAAACCTTGCACATTTATGAGTCACACGCGTTTTTGAGCAGTTAAATTAAATGAAAATGTCAGACATCAACAAAAGACTAGAATGACTGCAGAGCCTCAAAGAAGTCACCAAAAAGACTGTAAGCAACTTTTGTAAATGTGAACTTTTAATCCAAACCCCTGAAGCCTCCATCTGCCTACAGCTCAACGGAGGAAGGGTGCATGTCAGACTTTTCATCAGAGTAATAATTGCACCTGTGATCACACCGAATCACTTGCTTCAGATTCCACAGAGGGGAAACTAAATGAGAGTTGCGTGCACACAACTGTACCGATAGCCCCCCTCGCTGTACATAAATTAATTATTTATCCGGAGCAAAAGACCTACCTGTGTGAGATTTACATTGTTGACGGATAATCGTGCCTCCCGCTGCCCCCTTGCTGATAGTAATGTCTCCCTCGGTGGTGATGAGAGTAAGTGAAGCAGCAGCAGGCTCGCAGTGTGTGTAGGCTGCAGCTATCCTTAGCACTTTTGCATTGGACGAGCACCACCACCACCACCACCGTTTCTGCTGCCGCTGCTCCCACTTGCGCTGCTTGGATTTCAGTGCAAAACCAAAAGAGGGGCTGAAGCTCAAATGCAAGAAGCATCGTCACTCGGGAAGATCATATTAGCTTTTTTTAAGTGTTTATTCACATCAAATAACGACCCTTTAAGCCCGATCTCCTCCTCCTCCTCCTCCTCCTTCTTCTCCTCCTCCTCCTCCTCGTCGTCCTCGTTGAGGGTTGTGCGTGTGCTGCTCCAGATCCAGGTTCCGCTCCTCAGCCGAGGGTTTCCCCGGCGAGCGCAGCGGGGAACCCTGCGAAAAGGAGCTGCCCAAGGTGCTGAAGCGAGCACCCGACGAAGCCCTCGGCTCTCTACCGACCCGCTCCCGCAGCAGCAGCCGGGCAACGCTGGGCGAATTTCATCCAAACGCCATCAAAACATTGACGTTTTGGTGCCGGAGACTGGCAGTGGCCAATGAATCGTGTGACATTTGCATCGCTCCGGTCACGACATAGCAGACTAACAATGTTGGCTGTGTGTGTGTGTGTGTGTGAGGAATAAAGAAAGCCTGTGTGAGTGGATTTTTCTCAGTTCCCGATTGAGGCCAATTTGAGAGGGGATTTTAGCCACAGATCTTTTTTTTTTTTTAGCTTTACGCCTGGTAGGTCGCCCCTCTCCGTGTCATGAGCGGTTTTTTACGGTTTCCCAAAATAAAGATACTATGGGAATATAAATTGCCTTTACAGCAATTGGCTTAACCGTTTGTCGTTCATCGGGATTAGCCAGTCGATGGTTAAAGCGCACATCAATCATTCTCGAGCGTCCCTTCCTTTATTTAAACACGCCTGGACGTGGGCTGCTGGAAATATTATAGGCTGAGGCTCGGATTGCAGGGTGTGCGCAAATAACGAAAAGCGGTGATGTGAATTAAGTGTAGTAGGCCGGCCTGTGGTTACAACCGAGGGAGGATGCGTAACGCCCAGTGGGCTCGGACCGGGGCTAAAGATGCGGCTGTAGTGGTTTTAAGAGTGGAGAGGTTGAAATAAATGGAAGAACAAAGCGAGCGCACAATATCTGCACACTGAATGTAATTTATTGAGGAAAAGAGCAGAACAGACATGATTTGGCACATGTAGAAAAGTGCATCGACACCAAAACAATTTAGTTCAATAAGCCAACACTATCTCAAAATACATTTTAACTTTCTCTTCAGAAACTATAAAGGGCAGATGCGTGCGTTATCATACAAAGGACTTCTAATTAGGTTTTAAAAAAGTAAAATGATGGAATTTTCTTAAAAAACATCCATTATTGCAACAACCGTTGTTGCAGGCCTGTGTAGAAAAACTGAACTTCAACATATAACAGAAACTACCTGACAAGCAAACATGTATATACTGGAAATTGCACCATCATGTCATCAGGATAGTCTTCTTAGTGAGGAAAAAGCACAATACCCATCAATGACAGGACCAACTAGAAGCAGTAATGGATTTTGACAGACAGCAATAGTCTACTATTTCTTATTTTTGGCCGTTTTTTCAAACGTGCAACTATCATAGTTAGTCTCAGACTATGCTATCAAGATTTCAAGAAGAACCATTACCATTCATTACCTTAGGAAATGATACTAAATACATCATCCTCAACACCAAATCCATCACTTTTTTCCCCAGACCTTAGACAGAATATCTTATATTTCCAGCCACAGTTTCCTAAAGTTAGACAGTTGTAGAAGAGTAAAGTAGAGTTTCTGTGAGTCAGAGTCACTTACACAGCCAACAGGTTTTAGGATGCAGCTTTTAGGCTGCAGAAGTTAGGGAGTTGAAGTAACCACTGAACCCAACAATTAACACTTGGAAGTAGGTAGTAACAGATATGATACGACATGTGAACAAAAGAGGCACTGTTAGATTATTTCCGTGTGCCGAATTGAACCATGGTACATAGATACCTTCTATCTATCTATCAAAACAGTTTTGTAGGCTAATGAGGTTTTTTTTTTTTTCATTGGTAAGACAAAAGGTGTAAGAACTACATAACAAGGAAGAGCATTCAAATCAAGATTACCTTGATTTCTGTGGAAGAGGGACCATACTCCTCTTGCTTACATGAATAAAAAGTGCCTGCGCTGAATCAACGACTATAACAATAGCTTGTGGGACACACAAGTGTATATAATTTACTCACCTGCAAAGCAAACAGACCATTAAGTTGATGGCACAGGGTAAGATAGCCTTGTGTGAAACTTGGGGAAAATATAAACACATATATTTTACAAGAGTGCTCTATCACATTTGAATGTACAAAGAGATGGTCGGTTTGTCTTTTTATAGCAGAACTTTGTGAAACTCACTAGTTTTAATACGAAGCTGTGTTTACACACACAGTCTTCAAGGGTTTCCCGTATGATGCCATTACACTGATGGCTAAAGGGAGCATTTTCCTGCTTTACGAGCGGAAATGTTGACAGCAATATTCTGAGTCGTAATGTGAGTTACACACTTTATAGAATGTTTCTTGTTCCCAACTGCTGTTGCAAACAGGAGCAAAAAGGGGTCGTCCTGTCGTCCATTGTCACTGTGGGTCAGTCAGTCAGTCAGCCTAAATGGACCAAGGTCATGACTGTTGTGTACTCATGCTGTAGGCTGTCCGTGTCAGTGTCACACAGCGTGTAGTCATCTTTGATGATTCGGTCGCAGCCAATCTCGCCGTTGCCGAACAGGCCGAAGAGTGGGGTGTTGGGGAACACCTTGTGAAAGGCGTCCGCCTCTACATTGGTCTGGTTGTTGTAGTAGTTCTGGCCTCTCCCCACGCAGGCGAACATGAACCCTAGGGTGTTCCTCTCTGGAATCTTGGCTGCCTTTAGCCGCCGGATTGTGGCTTCAGCTGCCTTTGGGTTGCTGACGTCTTGGTCCAAGAGCACAGATGCACCCTGCACCTTAGGGCCACTCAGGGCCAGGCCGACCACGCCGTACGCACCCTGGCTACAGCTACAGAGTGACAAATGACAGGAGACGGGAAACTGTTATTATTTCAGAAAATGCCGCAGACATTGCTTATCTATAAATTAAATTCAAACCTATTGTCAGTTCCATAAATAGCTTAAATGACAGAGAAATTTCACTTCAAAATGAGGTGAGATTACCCTGTATGTATGGAAAGTCCTTCAGTCAAAACTATGTTTGAGGAAGCCTGGCAGTATTTGAACTTCAGGAATTTGCACAATATCACTTACAATTGTTATGTTTGTACAAAAGCATCTTCCTAAGATTACTAAGAAAAAGTTTAATTTGTGAAAAGTGAAGGACATGAACTCACCAGTGTCTGGTAGGACAGAAGACACTTTCTACCAGCCCTCCAGCAATGAGAGCTTTGCTCTTGGCCAGCGGCTCCAGTATCTGGCCGAGGAAGCGTGCTCCTCCAGATTTATATGCCTCATAGACAAATATCAGAACCACGCGCAGCTCTGGGTTGTCAACTAGTCCTGGAAACAAAGGAGTGATATAAAAATAAGTTTTTGAAGATTTTTAGAAGTTTTGCATTTCTCTGTTTAGATTTCTCTGCACTCACCTGCTTCTTTCAGGGCTTCTGGGGAGATGGACTTCTTGCAAAAATGAAAGGGCTTGATGTTGACACCTTCCATGCTGGGGAACATGACTGCAAAGCCAGCCTCCCCCTCCTGGTACTCCTGAGGAAGGCTGGAGCAGGAGCCACTAGGAGTCACTGCACAGAGGTGCAAGGATGTAAGTACCTTATAATATTAAGTTGCATGCACCATGCACACATGTCATGTTTTCATTCCAGTCAAGCAGTAAATGAGTCCCCCCTCTAAGGCTGACAGTGTACCTATCAGTGCAATCAGCTGCTGTGGTGTTTATTTGTAAGGAAAACCTGCAGAATCTTCATTACAGAGGACCAAGAACCACTTAGTATATGTACTGTAGATGCACATTGAAACGTAATAATTCTAAATATATAAACTTTTCCAGAGTTTACATAACTTGTTTGATACCAAGTTGAGTAAATGTCTGGATGGTGTATGGGGGCCTATAACTGATTTTTTTCTTAAACTCCTATTCCTACCCTGTATGCAACCACCAGTGCTCTTATTATTATTATTTCCCTTTTGATTTTGGAGACACTTCTTAGAGTCATCATCTAGTGGCCATTAGAGATACTGCATCTCAAGGCACTGATGTATTGACCACAACAATCAAATGTGTTGGTTCCAGCTGGGTTAGGAATCATTTTCAAAACTGAGGACGGAACGAGGAACAGTGGTCAAACGAGTAGACTCTAAGGCACATTGACTGAAAGACACTTAAAAAAAGGTCCAGTGTGTAACATTTAGGAGGATCTGTTGGCAGAAATGGAATATAATATTCATAGGTATGTTTTCATTTGTGTATAATCACCAGAAAATAAGAACTGATGTGTTTTTGTAACCTTAGAATGAGACGTTTTAATGTATTGACTCCACGGGTCACCTCCCATGGCATCTGTTGAACCTCCATGTTTCTACAGTCGCCCAGAACCGACAAACTAAACACAGACTCTAGATAGAGCTGTTCACACTTTTTGCACACTTTGTTGCCACCATAATTTCTCCCTTGTTCTTGGAAAGTGAGGATAGGATGTTTTTATTTGCCTAGCTAAACTCCTGGTGTGCAACTTAATTTGTACATTACAAAAAACTGCACATTAGTATCTCATTTATACTTTACAAGTTGTGCAGAAATACTATGTCTAGGTGTATTACAAGCCGTCTTTTAATACTGTACAGCCCCACTACCAACATGTATAAATAATCAGTTGTAATCTAGGCTATATGGCAGACTTACAAGTAGTCTATAGTGCCAACCTTATCTTTATTTGAATGAGATGTGTGTGGTGACCCTGGGGTGACCCTCAGCTACAATATCACAAAATGAGTGTTATCACAAACAGCTGAGGCTGCCATCAAACCTGATAGACGACGGGATCCTGATAAGCCATCATCTTGCGGAAAGAGAATATGGCTGATGGAGAGTCACTTCTCTGCAGGGTTGTTATTATATGGAGAAATGGGGACTACAGCACCAGGCAGACTAGGCAATCTATCAGAGGGAGAGCCAGGGAGGTGCCAGCCACCAGTGGTGCTTTCCAACTAGGCAGCAGCAGTGGGGATTAATGTGTAGCCCTCTCTGATGAAAGGTGAGCTATTCCTCTTATATACCCAAGTCACCTGGTTAGCTTTCGTTGTTTTAGAGCATCCCAGTAGATGGACATGCTAAGACAACATATTTGTACCATAATAGCTTTGAAGCTCATTTAAGATACATTTTCATATTGATGTTGAATTAAATGATTTCCTGTATGTGGATACCCATGGATTTATGAGGAGGTGAGGAGGGGGATTTTATTCTCTTCTGTATAAATGAGGAATGAGGAAACATGACAGAGACAGAAAAGAGGAACACTTACAGACTATGCCTGGTGTAGCAATTCCCATAATGTCACAGCCTTTGGGGAAGAGGAGGTTCAGTTCTTCAACTGTATCCGGACTGTGGCGACTCTTTTTTACTTCAGAATAGTTGAGGGAAAAAACATGTTAATTGCTTATCATTTTAATAATACATGAAGCATACGTTGCTATAAATTAAAATGTCCTTAGTAGTAGCTAGATCAGCAGCATCTATATGAAACAAATACAAAATTATCTGTCCCTTCTAGTCAATAGTTTAAATCAGCCTGCAAGGTGCAACTATGATTAAGCAACTGTTCACCATGACTATACAATCTAAATGACAATTTCAACACATCTTGCCTGGTTGTTAAGTAAGTAAAAGTGATGGTGTAATGCCACAACACTCTCTAGTAGGTTATTTGTGGAACAATTGCAGATGTTCAGTTATAGTAATGGCTGAATTATTTAATGTGTCAATAACACACAACCTATGTTATTCAAACTGCAGTGACAAAGAGGAACAATGGTCACATATTGAAACTGACCAGCAGGAGACAGACAGAATGACCTAACACTTCCTGCTAAGTGGCCTTCATTATAATATGACCCAACTCTGCAGCAGTGTTCATTAATTTAATGTTTTTAAGGTCACTGCAAAACTTACTGTTCAATGATTGCTTTCTCATGCCCCTACAGATGCAATAGTTTAGCAAGTAGTCTGACCCATATTAGTGGCTTCCAGTAAATTATGTAGTACTAATGAGCATAGGTCCAACTCATGTTGTATTTCAGTAATATCGTGTTTGACAAAAAACCAGAGGGTGGAGTCTAAAGCACAGTGTGACACCATCTGGTTTACTTGCAAAAAAAGACCAGAGGACAAACATACAGTTACAGAGACACATTCTGAAACACTAATTATTTTACTAAATTTATGTTAAAATAAAATGTTGACATTTGAATATATGTATGATTTTAAATGTAATGTGTTCTTTCTAAGGATTGAGATTTGTGGGCCACCCAATTTCATTAGGCATTAGAGATACATTTCTGACTTTTAAGCACCCATAATACAAGGTTCTCCTGCATTGCAAAATTATTTGAGGCATATTTTACACCTACTAATACTCAATTCTTGATGGACAGGAAGTCAGAGGCACTGATGCATATTATTCTGACAAAAGGAAGGATTGTTACACCACTTACCTCATATAGGATATATGTCTGTCCACAGAGACAACTCAAGCAATTACACATGATGCAAATGTGCACTTATTGGAAACATTCTGTCTAGTGAGCACAATATAATAGTCCAACAGCACTGTGTACCATTATTTAACACCAACCTTTACTCTGACTGTAGCAATACGCTTGTCCATTGAAGGCTTCGCAGTCTACCATTGCCAGAACCGTTTTGGGCAGGAGAAACACTTTCTAAAAATAATCAGAAGCAGAGTGCATGTGTTAAAACAGTACTTAAACATTTGTTTATGTGCTTCTGGACACAAAACACAGTTCAACAATATACCACATCTTTTAAGACATTTTTACTCCAAAATAAATTTGATATTTATTTATTGTAGGCTTTTACCCCAGGGCTACCAGAGGAATCACTTCTTGCTGAGGATGTATGGTAAGCAAATATCTCAAACTTGGGCAATTGTATTTACTATTATCCATATAAACCAAGTACCGATGCTCTTCAACACAAATAAACTGTCCCAAACAGCTTTCCGTTGTTGTTCAGTCGATGTGGGTGCCATCATTTACCTCCACCTCCTCAGCCAGGATGCTGCAGAGGGCATGGACCTCCGTGTTAGACGGTCCACAGGCTGACACCCAGGTCAGCTGCTGCTGGGTCCTCAGCACCCTACGGGCACAGTTCCTCCACAGCCTGCACACACTGAAGACACAAACACATCCAACTTTACAAACTAGCTGGGTAGGAACTTGGCGAAAGAGTTAGCTAACGTTAGTTATTAAGTCCGTGCTTCTATCACGACACCCTGTTGAGCGCCTGCAACCAATTACACAGCAGGTACAAGACTCCCAGGAGTAATTGTAGCTGCTCCATTAGCTTTCTGAAGACTAGTTTCACTTCCACTCGACAGCCATTAACGCTAGCTAACTTCAGTTTAGCATACAACATTTCCCGTTACCTCGCGATCCGGAGGAGAGATTTGGTTGGTACGAACGTCAAAATGCGCTCAACCACTTCGGCAACATTGCTGAGTATGTATGCTGCCTTGCTGTCTTGTAAAGAAACAGTGAAGTCTTCATTTTCACCCATATTTCCCTCTTTAAGTCGTGGGCTTTCCAGCACGGCTGCACAGCTACAAACTTTCACCTTTGACTACCACCGCTGCTGAGGTGAGACACTGCCCCCCCGCGGCGAGGAGGAGCTGTGACACTTAAGTTTCCTTTAATGTTAGTTTACTGTTAAACTTAATAAAAAGGTTCATTTTAAAGATTATTTATTTGTCGGGTAGTTATACAAGAAATAGGCTGCTGATGTCTTTTTGGGGGCTTATCTGCTTGTGAAATACACTTCACCTTTTAAGCTGTAAAAGTTTTTCAAATGACACAATTCTAGAGGAAAAATAACTAATTTACACATTGAGGGAATAAACAAAATGATTAGGAACCACAGCTTTATAATTAATGACATCGGTAAGCGTGTATTTCTGGGCTCAGTCACATTTTTCACTGGCAATGAACCTCTACTAACTGGGAGGGTACAGCTCATGTTTTAACAGTGGTATAACACATGTCCTTGTCATTTAAAATGGCAACTGTAAAAAGGTCTTGTGCACTATTTCACATTGCTTAAATTAAGTGACGGTATAGAGAATTTAATGTGCGACAACAGCAATAGAAAGGACATGTTACATTGTGCCCAACTCTTTCTTCAAAGTACCAAAAAAACACCAACGAAACCTTTGTAATAAAGACAGCTTTGGAGTATCTTATACTTCATCCAACCATTTATTTATAATCTTTACATTTCCAAGATAAAATGGGAGAGACAAAAATCAAACAAATCAGTTCCTCAAAATGAACAGAAAAGTGAGTACAGTGCACAAACATTTCTTTGACTTAGCTGAACGCAACCGTACATTCAAGCAACAAAAGTACACATAATAAAAAGTCCCTTTTTTATAAACTTGGCTTAACTTATGGCTTTGTTCACAATTATGTCACATTATGTGCAGTATTTTCCCCACAAAAGTGCAAATTCTCCCAACATATACATGTAAACCTACTAAAGATATACCATGGATTTTAACGGACCTCTGATTACAGTGTGTAACGGGAACAGTGTAGTTTAACTGTAGCTCACCGAAGCCATTTGTGCTACTTTGTGTAGAGCTCGTTCCTTCAGGATGACCAACAGGAGACACACGAGCCCAAGCCCAACATTATATGTAGCAGCTATATATGGGAGCCAGCCATATTCAGAGCAGATGAGGCAATGTGGGTAGAGGAACAGAGCTGGGTCAAATGTTAACCATCTCCATTAGTGTCTGATCCAGCATCTGCTTTACGCTCAAGCCTTCTTCTTTAGCACGTGTGAGTTTATCTGTTAATATAGCATTGCATGGGTTAAAAATCAGACAACAGCGCAAAGATGCACAGAATATAAACAGACAAAGCTCTAGCCCAGGATAACAAACAGTGTTGGACTGTGATATGTGCTGGATATTATAACAACCCTTCGCATGTGAAAAATGTCACCTCTCCATATTTTTTCCAATAAAATAAGTCAGCATTCATTAAGTACATAACTTCAACTCAAATACTTTGAGCCAATTCACTACATATTACACTCAAGCTATAGACAGGGCTGTAGTCAAGACTGTATGGGTTCAGGAGAAAAGTAGGGCCCTTTGACAATGGATTTAAATGATGCTCATGACCTGCAGTATCAAGTCCAAACTGTTTGCCGTCAGTCAAAAAAAACCTCACCTTCCCTAAAAAAAAAAATATATATATATATATATATATATATATATATATATATATATATATATATATATATATATATGTAACCCCAAATTAGAGGCTATTTCTTCCAAATCATCCCTCGGTCATCATCTAGTGTTCAAATTCAAATTCTCATTCAAATTGTGCGATGTGTCAAGTTTACTTAAAATCTGCTCTGGAAGGTCACAGGATTCATTACCAGAGCAAAAAACACAGTCAAACACTGATGTGTGTCTGTACTGAAATGCTACAGAAATACAAAAATGAAAAAACAACTCCAATTGCAACATGTCAAACGTGCATGAAAACAAAAAAAAAAAAACGGGCAGTTTGGTTCCAATGTGTACAGGATTATTTTTCTTGAAAATATTTCTCTGCAATAGTCATAATATTACAGAGGAGGATTCAGGGATGTAGAAGGAATTCTGGACCCGTGCTGCATTTTAGGACCCTTCTGCAGTGTTCGGCCACCAGCATCATCACCAGTCTTCAACCCATGAGCAACAGCATTGTGCATATTGGACTGATTTGCTACAACCCTGTCGATAACTGAGGAAAATATATCAAATCCATTCCATAAGGTTTCATAACCCGAGGTTGCCTGACCTCCCACCTGAAATTGAGTTTGTGCATGCATAATGTGAAAATCGTACATTTGTATCCCGTTTGTTGAAAGCATTACTTGGTTTAACTTTTGTATCATAGACACGGTTGTCTATACTCTTTATACCACAGCATCAGACTGCTTTATGCCTGGACAGTTGAGTTTCAGAAGAATGAAATCATACAAGAGTCCATTCCAGGTTAAGCCTCGTTTAAAGCTACTCTTAGTTCATTTGTCAGAAGACGGTTTTTCTCAAGCTGCTTGTATAGATGGTCTTGACAGTCAGAAAGCAGGTAAGAGAAAAGGGAAAGAGACAGAAAGCAGGTTAGTACAACAGACAAAGAGTTAGTGTTTCTTCAAAGCTAATCACAAAATACAAGTTGTTGAACTGCCAGCCTCATGAATATAGCAAACTAAAGCAATAACTCACTCTATTTGTCATTTCCGAAAAGGTCTCACAAGCTGTTACTAGCTTACTGTCCTGCTTACCCACAGCAACACTAATTACTAATTATTTCTTTAGTTGCTTTTGTACTTACTGTAGATTTTGTTTGTTTTTTCCCCCAGAGATATTGAGGATAGCCTGGCAGAAGCCTACACATTAAGTTTCCAACACGTAATCCAGATTCAGTGCCAGTGACTTTTGGCGGAGGGACTGAGGCTCAGCTGATCATCTGGAAACTGTCGCATCGAAGCACAATACCTTTCTAGTCTGACAATATAACTTTCTCCTTTAAAAAATGAGCATGTAGACACTAAAGATCATGAAGATACTTCAGTGCATAAATTTAACCTCCCTGGTGATGCAGCAGTGAATCCTATTGGCCGCCAAAGTGCACTCAAGATATCAGGGGTTGGAAACAGTCGATCTAAAGCAGATAGACTAGACATGACTGTTATTTTACCATATTCTTCCAAATCAAAAAAGGTAAACCGAGAGGACAACTGTTGTATTAAATGTGAACACTAGCTTGTTGAAAATAAATAAAATTAACACCCCAAAAGCGCCATTATGTCAAGTAACAGTCCTCTCGAACAGAAAAAGGAAGAGTGAATGTGAGAGGAGCTTCAGAGTTTATTCAAAAGCTACTCAACAAAAAAAAATGAAAACACACAGACAAAAATCAAAAACAAAACAAACAAACAAAAAAGATGACGACAAATGGAAAATGAAGAAACATGGCAGGAGAAAGGGGGGAGGGCTGGCAAAGATGGAAAAAAATTTATTTTACAGAAAGCAATAGGGCTCAAAAAGGTCTGTAAGAGAGATGAACAAATGGAGGGTGGCAGCGATGGCCCAATGTGCAGGAGTAAAGAAATACAGAGACAGGAGAGACAGAAAGTTGGGCTGCGCTGCACAGGAAACAGATTGCGTTCAACCAGCTTCTTGAGTGAGGGTTGTAAAGATTTAGCTGTGAAAAAACGAGAAAAGAACAAAAATGTTGGAGGGAGATATGAAAAGGAGGAATGCAAGATAAAGAACATGCAGAACCAAGAAGGAAAAATGCAGAATTGAACCAGAAACCCTAAAGAAAACGAAGCATATGAAGAAAATATGGTTGTGTTGCAAGAAACTATAAGGGGTTAACTAACACTACTGCTAAAGGTTGTTAATAGAAATTAGGTTTGGGAAATCTAGCCTCAGGAAATAGTTTAAAATACACACCAAACACATTAAGTGCATACAAATATCAATGTTAGACAAACAGTGGGAAAAAAAAAAATCACTGCACTCAAACATGCCACAAGAGGGAGCTATTGTACGCATGTAACAGTGGTTAGGGGTGTCGAGATCTAAGGCACAAAGCAGAAACAAGCATGTGGTGAATTACATGGAAGTCATGTCGTTGAGGGCGTGGTCCAGCTCCTCGCTGATGGCCTTGTACTTCAGTTTCTGGGCATACAGCTCATCTATTGTGTGGTTATTATTATGAGGTGGCAGTGAAGGATTTGTAATAAAATAAAAAAAGACAACAGAAAAATAATAGTGTAAGAGAACAGAAGTCAAAAGGAAAATACAAATAGAGAAAAAGCAGGACAAAAATAGGAAGGTGCACAGGGAACAGCTGTTGATGTGGTGTCAGATTCCTGAGGAGTCACAGAGAAACTGCCTCACATGTTCCATGACCCTGGGAGGACTGCTTGAGACTGATGTGGCCTTGAACAGTCACTACACCAGAATGCCAAACAGCATTGCGGTGAGAAATGTTGTTGCCAGCATGAATAAATATCACGTTGGCCTCTGAGGATCACCGCTTTGGTTTTTCCCCATCCGGTAGACCATTAACAGTGCCGATATTTGTCCTGAGGACTGACCAGAGAAATAACCTCACACCGCACCAGTGTTTACAAAAGGGGCCCTTATTGTCTATTTCACGAGTGTCCCTTTGAGAAATTAAGAGAAAACTGTTGTTGGTTTTATAATAATAGAAGACGACCCAACAAGGAATTCATAGGGCCTAACAAAGTTACTTTTTGAGTTGACTTGTTGTGTAGTAACACACCCCTACATTTTTTGTTAAAAAATGTCCAATGTTTCAAAATCAAGCAGAAAACATTCATACCTTCCAGGTCATCAATGGTTTTCTCAAGCTTGGCGACTGATCTCTCTGCGAACTCAGCACGAGTCTCAGCCTGAGTGGAGTAATAGGCAAACATTAGCAATTCACTTTAAGAGGTTTGCATTACTAACCACAGCACTACAGAATATTTAAAGCACTTAAGGGCTGTAATTAAAAAAAACAAAACATATATAGTCAGCATACTTAATTCAAATAATGAATGAGTCTATATCCAATATCAGCAGTTACAAATAAGTCTTTTTTAAATGACTCACTGGTGATTTTTAGTGAACTTTAGTTAACTCACCTCCTTCAGCTTGTCTGTAAGAACCTTGATCTCCTCTTCATACTTGTCCTCCTTCTGTGAGTACTGTGGTTGCAAACAAAGGCTAAAGTTAGGCAAATATACAAGACAATATAATCTACAAGAGTTTAAAACTGGATTATTGGCCATTACTCTTCTTGGTCAGCAATCCTTACCTTCTCTGCCTGGGCCTCCAGAGACTTCAGGTTGTTCTGCACGGTTTTCAGCTCCTCTTCAAGCTCTGAGCATTTGCTATTGATCGCAAACAAAAGAAAGAAATTACAATAGAATTAGTTATTTTGAGTTGGGACTTGGAGGAACAGATCGAGGGGAAAGGGAAGGAGGTTCTTACCCCTCAGACAGCTCAGCGCGCTCCTCTGTACGTTCCAGCTCACTCTCAACGATCACCAGCTTACGGGCCACCTGAAGGCACATACAAAGTTTAGTCCAATGCTAGTTTAGATTCATCAAAAACAGACAGAATTAAATTCCTTAATTTATCTACTATAATTTAATTATTCATGACTTAGCGGCAACAATAAACTCTAAAAGAATGTGGCCATTGACATCTGCTGTTACATTGAAGTAAAAGAATGTAGAAAATGTTAAGCTCAAAGTTCGGAATACTGCGAACAGCTGAGAAACTTGCCTCCTCATATTTGCGATCAGCCTCCTCTGCAATGTGTTTGGCCTCCTTCAGCTGGATCTCCTGCAGCTCCATCTTCTCCTCGTCCTTCATTGCCCTGTTCTCAATGACCTTCATGCCTCTGAGGGACAGAAAATAGTATGACGGGTAAGTCATGAGAACTATCTGCACAACAGCAGGCCAATATGTTTAGATAATTCCCTCTCATATGACCGATAAGAGAGCACTAGTTTGTCTTTTAAGAGCCCAGGAAATCCCATTCTTATGTGGCTCAAAGTAAAGTTTAACACAAACCATATGGCTCCTATCCTACTGATGTCTCATATTGGTGAAGATGGTCTGAAATTGGAGGACGACTAGATAGACTTTATTTACTATCTGGATAACATGTCTATATACGTTACAGACACAATGATCCATTATATTATGGTGGGCAACACTGTGTACATGATGAGTGACTATTTTAACATAATTTAAGTTACCATAAAAATGCTACAGGTGCCCTATTCCACTATTGATCTGGAGTTATATACCATTAAAATAATAGAGGAATTTGTTTATCAATGGTGCAAACACGATAACAGTGAATAATTTAAGTTATTATGCAAAACATCATCCATGAAAACTACTTTTCTATCCCCATATTTAAATTTAGTTCACACATTAGTGCAATATAACTTCCAGCCACTAGTGGCAGCACTGAGCAGAAAGCTAGGAGTGGTACTCCAAAAGCAGGTATCATGTGCAGTCAGTAGCTTTTCTTTTTTGCACACTGTAGTTGAGCAGAATCCAGTACCAGCAGTTATTTTCCTATTCATCTTAAAAGCATTCAGTGCCAGCATGACCACAGTGCTCCATAAAGTTTGCAACAGCGTGTGTGAGGATTTTCTTCTGTTTTGAATATCAAAAACTTCCTGTCCTAACCCTGCCACCTCACTCTTTATCAGAGAAAAGTAGATTTTACCAAAACAAATAATATGAGGTGATTGAACTCAAACTAAACAATGTTAATGCTAGGGTGCCACGTAAATGAAGAGAGCAACCGGGATTTTTCTGTAATACCAAGGACTAACAGAGGAACTTTTCAGTTGATTGTGTTTGGGTCCATCTTCTGGGTGCAAGGTACCCACCTCTCACTCTCATCAGCAGCCTTCTCAGCCTCCTCCAGCTTGGTAAGGGCTGTGGCCAGACGCTCCTGAGCACGATCCAACTCCTCCTCAACCAGCTGGATACGTCTGTTCAGGGAAGCTACATCACCCTCAGCCTAGGAGAGCACAACACCACAATCATATAGAGGCAAATCATGTTTTATCTGTACAGCCTAAAATAATATAGTATGATTCAATTAGGTCTCACAGGCTTACAACATCCAACCATCCCACCTCTCCTAGGACAGCTTGGGCTGGGCCAGGAACACGCCCAAGTGAGGGATGGGTATGTCTCCTCTATTAAGGCACATTTTGAACCTAATACAAGTTAGCAGTACATTTTAAGAAAATACTAGACTAATTTATCCACCCTTTCTTGCCTTTTTCCACAGTCAACCCTGCATTTTTCTGTCTCACAGTGATTCAGTGCTATTGTCCCATAAACAAATTACAGACAAAACATGGCTACAATTTAGTATTTGAGGGGTGAAAAGTCAGCTTCCCTGTGCTCCTACAAGCGAGTGGCCTGCGGGAGTCTTACACAGTAGGGGATTTTATCCCAGAGGACCTGTGGTACTGCTGCAACATTAGCCTACTTGTTACAGGGCTGTTTGTTTATTCTGGAGGTGCCGGGTGGTGTCCTTTCATCCACCCAGCGTTTTCTCACATCCCACACTGGGCTAATTTCTAACATGTCTACCGGATACCTGACTGTATTTGAGCATAACCCGTCGCTGTCTGGGCCTAGCAACCATGCTTTTTGACCAGATTTCCGCCTAATGCCGTCGACAGTCTGGGGACTAATTGCCTTAGCTCAGTAATTAGCAGCGGCTTACTGCTTCCCTCGCACTCCTCTCCTGGTTCAGTTCCCGCTGTAGTAACGCTGCCCGGTCCTCCGCCGCATCGGCCTGCTCCTGCAACGACTTGATTTTCTTCTTCACAGCTTCCAGGGAGCTTCCACCGGCCATTTTTGCTATTTTTGACTCAGCTAAGCTAGTTTTTTTATCCTCAGCTCTGTGCGGGCTGCTTCCACTGAGACAGACACACACACACACACACACACTTGGAGATGCGGCTCGTTTGATCCCTGCCCCCACCGTCCTTAATCAACCGCTGATGAGGATTGGGATGTGCCATCAACCCCGGAAGTACCAGATTTTTAGCCGCTAATGATACAATGAATCAAATGAATTAAAAAAAAATATATATATATATACATATGAATTGTGCCGATTTCCAGTGTCGTTTCAAATTAATTTATTCTTATTTTTTTATACTTTTTCTCAGTTAAACAACTATGTTATTCATGAGCTGTTTCAAGTGCATCCCCTACTGGTAAATTGAACTAACCCTATCAAACTCCCAGCTCCTAGCATTAGACACTGATTCAACACTGAGCAACAGCACTATCAACTACTGGGCCTAAGTTACCATTGTGTGCACAAAAATATTATTTCATGCTAACACTGCTGCCTGCAGACACTTTATCCACCATCCTATTGCATTGCTTCAGTGCATTTTCTTTGTGTTTTATTTATTTATTTATTTATTGCAACTTGATTATGTCCTGATTTTATTTGTGATTTCATATGATTCAACAAGGCACTCTTGCACTTACAATGTCTATGGTGTGGTGTATTTGAATGGTTTATGTTGGAGTCAGTCCTCAAAATGTATAGTAGTTCTAGTGTTTAGGCTACTTCTCTTATCTGTGGTATATAAATTAAATTAATCCATAAAGTCCACCTGTCATCTTATGTTATTTTAATAATATTGTTGTTGTTGTTGAGTGGTTGTTGTTGACCTCGTTGTTGCTGATTGTGACTGACTGATTGTGTGAATCATTTGGGTGTGATTGTAGTAATTGGTGTAACATTAAACTCAGTCAATAAACTTGTAATTCTATAAGGGTTGGATGTAACTGCCAACTGAAACCAGAACAACCACAAATGTGTTAAGGATTTTACTGGCCAAAATATGCTTGTAAAACGCCCGACTGAAACCCTACACTGGCCCTCAGATTTGTCCAAATGGCTGTGGAATGCCCTGGTAAGCCAGTGGACTGTGACTTTACCATATACAGCATAAGAGCTAAATTTAACTATCCATATTTTATTCTATTTTATTCTAGCCCATAGGCCTCTTATAATTTATTATTGCATAATAATCATTAGAGTAAATTGGTATGGGGGCTGGTAATCGTAGTATTCCCAGGGGAACCAAGGTTGTGGTTCGAGGTCAAACCATTAGGCAATGGGTGGCCCACTCTCTCTCCACCAGTCAGTGGTGCTGTCAGCCTAAACTCACATCTGTGGCTTTCTTCTCAGCAAGCTCCAGTTTCTCCTGGGCATCCTTCAGGGCTTCAGAGTACTTGTCCAACTCATCCTCAGTTGCCTTCAGCTTCTTCTGTAGTGCTACCAGGTCATCCTCAAGCTTGGACACAGAGAAACAGAAGATTTACTAACAAGTAGAAGACAGATATCACTACTCTCAGACTCACAACACACTCTTAGTGGCTCTCTCTAAGGTGTGAAAAGAATATATGTTTTAACTACATAATAGACTGTATATTAACCATTTAAAAATACAATTACCCTAGGCTATTAGAATAGGCCTATTGTTAGATATTATAGCTAAATCATAAGGATTTAATGTAATAAATCATGTTAAATGTTCCCAACTGTTGCCAACGTCATACAGCCCAAAAAATAAGTAAAATAACGCAAAAAGCAAACATATTATGATTTTTAAAAGTTAATTTAATCCTATGAAGACATACACATTAATCCTCAGTCATTGGACCCTGGGCATGCAGGGACAGTGCAGCGCAAGGCGCACGGTGCCATTGGCGCCGGTGCGTAAAAGCACCAGAGCGGGTTTCACACTGGATGCCGACCTGTTTGCTCCTGTCCTCAGATGCCTTCTTGTCTGACTCTGCCTGCTCAGCTCTGTCCAAGGCGTTCTCCTTGTCGAGCTTGAGCATCTGCATCTTCTTCTTGATGGCATCCATGGCTGCTTAGTGTCGGGGGTGTCCGCGCAAAGCAAAAACAAAAGACACTGAATGAAAGGATCGGAGCGTCTGTACCACACTGAACGCCAAGCTGGAGTGCGAGCTCGCCTGGGTTGTAGTGAGTCAAATATGTAGTTTGGCTGGGCAGTTACTGGATACCCAATACCTTTTTGGAAACAACTGCAGCTGTTTGCCAACGTGGGACCTGTTTTTTTCCTGGATGTCTTCAGTGATTCGCTCTTCCAAGACATTTGACCACGTCTATGACTAAACTTGGGATATGGGCGTCAGGAAGACACTGCCCCCTCACACCAAGACGTCCACTCCTATTACTAACACCCTCCAAGTGACAGGCAGGAAGTAGAGTGTCAAAAGGTAGTAGCTCTTCTGAGGGGTTTTATTTGGGAAAAACATGCTAATAATAATGACCTTATTATCACGCATTTTATATTAAGTCTCTGGGTAATGTAGTCACATGTGAGATGAGGTAAATGAGGAAGAATCTGATCTTTGTCTTATAAATATTTTATACTTTTTTTTTTGACTGTGCCAAAATAAAGGATATCAGACACTCTTTAATGAATAATTTACAAATATCAACATTTCAAGAGAGACTGGTACCAGAATGAATTATAATAACAGTCAATGCATCAGAGCTATTCATACAAAACAAATCTATCTGATTAGATAAGCCCCTGTGAAAGTTATTCCCTCTCTGTGGGGTGTCATATTAGCCAGTATGGCTTGTTTGTCTTCCAGGGATCATTTCACCAGCTCCCTCACAGCATAGTTCAACATCCTCGCAGCAATCAGATAGGCTTTGCCCTCTGTGAGGTATATCATCAAGCTTGTCCAATTCCTCTCTCAGCTAATGCATGCCTGAGAGTTATATCTCAGATAGGCCGCAGTGGATATGGTGGCGTGCACAGTGAAAGATACAGAAGCTTTGGCATTTCAACAGCCCCCCTCACAGCGCCTCTGTGATAGTTCACAGGGCCACTGGCACAGCCGCAGCTGTCACACACAACCTGTGGTCAGGACTGTTTGAGTAATAATAGTTTACTGTCGGCTACAGTAATTAATTTTTTGTGCATGTTAGGGAAATTGGACCTTGGAAATAAGAATCTCTCTCCCAATATTGCTAAATATAAGTTAATGGGTGACATTTATATTGTAGTAAAAGGTTAGATACAGTATTTACAGTACTGTTATGTAATACTATACGAGCAGCACTGCCTTCTGGTCTACAAGGCATAACAACCCCCGCTGAAAGTATTTTGGCATTCTCTAAGGTGACTTAGGTGACATTCTCCCTTTCTTCCCCTTTCCCTTCTATTCTGTTTGTGTTTTGTTGAGTGAATATTTTTGGGACCTTACTGCTCAGAGAACACCTGCTTGACTTTGTCCATGACCCCCAAAGCCACTCCCACCCTTACTGGGCTTGACTTTTAGAAAAGGAGCATTCACTTTCTTTCAAATCATTCACTTTTTTGGTTCCTTTGTGAACGGAATTGGGGGGGAAACAGCCTAAATGATACATAATATCAAAAACACATCATTTTATCTTAATTTCTTAAGTATTGATTAATCATACACAGCACTGGATAAATCTTGACAAATAATGATAGTCCTACATGGAACAATGTTGGACTGGATGATCCAACGTGTTGGTCTCCAAGTTTTTGTAGCTACATTTTGACTTGTTTTGAGAATATTTTTCTAATTATTTTTACATTACATTTTGCATTAAATCATCTGTCCCTTTTACTTTCTCTTTGATGGTCTGATATCCTTCCTGTGGAGGTTTTTTTAAGACAGTCAGCTGTCACTGTGTTGTCATCCCACCATGTGTTTTGTGGACTGTTAAGCAGCCAGCCAGGCATGCCAGTCATATACAGAGATCAGAGAGGCTCATGGCGAAATCCATGTCACCCTAGCACCCTGGAAAGATAAAGAGATGGACATCGCCACCTTGTACCTGTCCAACAATTAATGATTTAGTCAGATTAAGGGTTTTGAGTCAGGGGTCTGCAAGTCATTGTAAAATACTAGTGCCTAGAATTCTCTATAGTGCAGGCAGAGGTCTGTTTAACATGAACTCTTACTTTTGAGTACAAAATGTTTTATATTCTCTTCCAAGGGCAATTATACAGGGACAATATGTATTTCTTCCTGTGGCAGAGAAGAAGTGGTCGTCCTCATGATTCTTTGAAGCCTTTTATCACATTGTTTTGTTTAAACTAATGTTAGGGAGCTTGCCACAACCTAAAGTCTGCTTAAAATGTACACCCTAACTGATCATTTCCAATGTGCTAAAACTTATTTCTCAAATATTAGCAGATAAATCAATTTTCAATCAATTTCTTCTCATTGTTGCATATCATAACCATTATTTCTTGAGTAGTGCTCTGCGGAAATCAATGGTTTATTTCTAGACAAAACTTCTGTCTTTTAATTGGTCTGTTCACCAGGAACAAGTTGCACCATGAGTCAGATTTATGCTGACAGGTGTGATAATTGAAACAACCCTCAGTGTTCCCAAAATTCCCATCATGCAGAAAAATATGTGACCCTGTAACAATGGTGTCATGGCCTTTTGAAGGGCTACATGTGAAGTTTAAAGACCTGTGAAATTTGATTTCATTAGGTGACCATTGTCTGTTGATGGCTATGTATGCATCACTGATTTATTGTTGTGAACAACTCATAAATCTAAACACAGACTCTTTGTTTCTGTGGTGCATCACAGCTCAGTATAGTTTCTCTTCTGTAGCTGAGTGACTGATTAAAGGAATTTTACAGCTAGCAGAACAAAAAAGCACAGTTTAGTCAAACTTTGCTGCTGCATTGTCAGACCACAAATAAAAGCCCAGAGTTGTTTGAAATGTTCATCGTAGATGCGTTGAGGCAGCTGAATGAGCAGCTCCCAGACACAAATGGGAATATGGTGATGATTTCATTGTTAATGTCTAGACTGGAATTTCTCACGTCCTCCTCAATAATTAAAAGTATCGAGGAGGAGTAATGTTGATGTTCCACCCACTCCATCTGAGTCAAACTTTATCTCTTGCTGTGATTCAACCTAATTAAGCTCATCGTAACGGTTTAGACGGGCATAGCTCATGTGTGAGGTAATGTAAAAATATCAGTGTGATGAGTGTTTGTTACAGCATGTCATTGGTGTGTTATTTTCCATCCATCCATGGAGTAACGGCCAACCACCTAATGTGACGCTGATCTTTTTATTGAAAAGTAAATGTGAGAAATTAAGCACTGACCGCGGGTCACAGTGGTTGAGAGGAAAGAATCAAGAAACAGTTTGTGCTTGTGGCACCCACAAGTCAGGACAGGTAATCTTATATTGAATACAACTGTCTCCAGTGGATGAAGCCTCTAACCCTGCTATGTAGCATGCTGCAGTCATCAGTAACCGTACCCGCTTTCTGACGTTTATTATAATTAGATTTAGGGCATAAAAATAATGGATGAGCTGTCTTCTATCAGCTGCTTGTCCACATTAAATTCAATGCCCTCGTCCTTTTAGCCAGGATTTTTGTTGGCTCCCCCTGAGCCAAGCCAGTGGAGCAAGGCCTCTTGTTACAAGTGTGATCCAACAGCAACTGGAAATTAGTAAATGAGATTCAGGTTTCTGTCGCAGAAAAGTGTTCTCAGTTGTAGCCTGAAGAGCTAACTTTTAGGGAATATAGCAGAAAAGAAGGATTCCAGCTTTAAAAGCAGCGCCAGGAGCAGCTGTGACACTGTAATTGACATTGCCGCCTCAAATTTTAGTGGCAGACAAATTTAGCACGGGTCTCAGTTTATAGCATGGACTCAATATAGCTTCAGGTTTAGTGCTGACTCAGAAATGCCATCTTGTCCTGACACAAAACTGACGGACACTTACAGAGACCTTGTTCGCTTGCCAGGACTCACCTCTCTGCTATTCACTGGGGCTAGAGAACTCGTAGTGGAGTTCTGCATCCTGTCAGTACTGCTGCTGAAACATTGAGAGGATGTGGAAAAAAAAACACATTGAGAGTTTGATGTAGCATCTTTTGATTTATTTAGTCAACTGTTGCATTTATACTTTCTGTAAATTTGTCTTGCCAATATAATGGTCATCTCCAAACCGCCAGCAATAAAATCCTGGTGGGGACCTGAATCATTATAGGTCTGGGTACTAAAACTCAATATAACCAAAATGTGTTTCTTGCATTGAGGACTGAAAACTGGCAAGTGCAGAAAGTTGGTTTTGTTTGACATTTAATCAGATTTTTGATTCTCTCAGATATTTTCTGATCTAAATTTTCTTGCTTGGGCAGACGGATATATTTTGTTAAATAAGAAAAAAGGTTCAAAACAGTTGTTTATATTCCCCAAAACCAGGCATTGTATCGGCACCAACATTGATACCGAGCCCTATTCTTCATTTTCTGTTTGCCTAAAAGTAGTCAAAATAAAGCAGGCCTATATCGACTCAGAACAAACTGGAATCTACCTATATACTGACGTAATTGTAGAACACCCCCCAGGAGGCTAAAACCCCACACGTTTACACAGAGAACTCTGAGGACATGACCTCAGTGTCCTCAATTTTAGACATTGCCTGGATGTAGTTACAGATATTTGAGCTTGTGAGGGATGTGATTCAGGTTGTGTGCTCCATAAGACGTTTAAGTTGAATCAAGCGTGTCTTTTTTTCTATCTCTTTATGTAAGTATAAAAGGTGTATTCAACTCTAACTGCTCTTGAGGTCTAGGATGCAAAGATTAAGTTATTTATTTAATTTCCAATGCTCAAGCTTAATTCAGAAATGTTCCTCAAACTCAGCTGTGTGTTAATTTTTCTATTGAGGCGACCAAAGGTAGCGTATTTACAAATTTACAAAACTAAGCAGATAAATTAATGAATCATCAAAACTGATGTTTTTTCACAAAAACAGTATAATTTTCACATTATAATCCTTAAAAATACACCCACTCCTACCTCTTTAAAAAAAATCTAAAATTCTTAATTTAATTAATAATTAATTTCTGTTTTTCAGCTGGAGACAAGATGTCTCCTGCTCCATTTTCAGTGACACCTACAAGTTTCTACTTCACACTTGAATT